AATATTTGAGTTTTAAAAAAATTATATTAAAAAAAATACTTACCTATTAACTGATACCAATTAATAATGTAGTTATTGTAATAAGAAGAAGAAATGAGTTGTAGAGATCTTTATTGAAGAAGAGGAGAATAAAACATAATTTTTTCTAATTGTTTAAGTTGTTATGTGTGTTGTTCTAATATATTATTATATTATTAGATTAATTTTTAATTAATTGTTAATTTATAGACCATAAAAAAATATTTTCCTACTAATATATACAACTAATAACTTTAACTAAAAAATTGGATCCTTTAATTATTTTTTTTTAAATTGACCCGTAGGTGAATGTTTACTTTTTGTGTGCATAGGCACGGCCCCAGCACTCATACACAAAAACCTTTATAATATCTATATATATATCTATATATATAATATACATCTCTAAAAAGAATCTCACTTATTCTTAAAATCTCTATCCTTTTCATCTCTTCCACTTTTTGTAAGAATTATTTGGGGTTATACATGAATAATCAATATATTAAGGTTATTATTTAAAGTAGTCAAAATTTACCATGACAAGAGAATTCTCACAAGGAACTTTGCTTCAAATGATCAGGTGATGCTGTTCAATTCTCGGTTGAAGCTATTTCCTGGGAAGTTAAGATCAAGGTGGTCTAGGCCTTTCACCATCAAGGAGGTTTGCCCCTATGGAGCTATAGTGTTGCTGGACACTAAAAGATGTGAATTTGTTGTCAATGGGCAGAGATTGAAGCCATATCTCGCAGGTCCAAACATAGTAGAAGGTGGAACTCTCACCTTAGGTGATCCTCCTCAAGTCTAAATGGTTAACCAAGTCAAGCTAGTGACATAAACCAAGTGCTTGGTGGGAGACAACCAACCGGTAAGATTCTCTAACTTGTCTTCATTTCCACAGTTACTAACCTTTAGTTTTAGTTTTCAAAAGAAAAAAAAGAGAGAGAGAGCAGGTAACAGGTTTTACTCGACAAAGAGATGAAATTAAGAAGAAATGATGGAGCAACCAACCGGAGCACCTGCTCCGTCTTATGAATTGTTTGCTCGCAGCAGAAAAAGGCGACAAAGGATCACCCTTCCCCCAGTGGAGCACCTGCTCAACGAGGTGCTCGCCACAGAGAAAGACGACGAAGGAGCACCCTTCTCCATTCGGAGCACCTGCTCTGCCAGGGTGCTCCATGCGGAACCAGGTAAGTTTTCTGGGAAATTTGGTTAAAAAGGAAAACTGAGGACCGGTTTAATAAATCTGAGGGAGATTTAACCAAATATTTAATATCTAACCGGTTTTTCTCCTTTAAAAACCTATCTCCACCTTCCCTTCTCCAAAACGATTTTCTCCTTCTCTCTTCGCCTATTGTTCTTTTCCTTGAGAGAAAATTTGCAAAACACAACTTCTTCAATTCTTCACCGATTTGAATCTGATTCTCCAATAAATTCCACCAATAGATCAAGGTAACATCTTGAAAACTTCTTTTTACATGCGCGACATCGATAATAAAAGTGAAGTTTTGCTTGTTCTGATTATCGATTTACCTACTTGCATGTGTTCTAAGTGCTTTTTAGTAGTAATGGGCATATTTATCAGTGATAATCTGCTCGAATTTGGACATGCATGTTTTCATATGGGATTGTTTGGAGAAATGATGAACTTATTCTCTCTTGTGTTTGTTGATTTTGCAGAATATGCCTCCAAGAGTAAAATACACCAAGGTTCAGAAGAACAAAGGCGTCGATGACAATGCACCAGACCCAGCAATTCATCCATGGCCCAAGAAAGAAGGCAAACCGTTAGTTATTCCCGATACGTCGTTGCTTGAGCAACCCGACGCTCACTAGGACCAAGCTGCTGCTTTCTAGTACAATAAGCTGCTTGGTGTGGAGATGGAGCCGACTTTAGTGATGTGCACGGACACATTGAAGCACATGGGTATCTATGAGTCGGTTAACAACATCTTCCTCAACGCTAAGCTGATGACATTTGCCTTGGAATCAGATCTCTTATACCCGGACCTGGTTCGCCAATGCCTCGCAACGGCAAATCTGCAATACGCGAATCCATGCAAGCCAAAGTTTGAAGAGGCAACTTTCTCTTTCTTTTCTGGAGGAAAGAGATAGTCTCCCCATGGAGGAATTTTGCAGGGCATATGGGTTCCACGAGGAGGACAAGGAGCTAAATTTCCCAAAGAAGTTCAGCATTGCTTCTATGTTCTGGGAGACGATCGTTTCAGGCCAATACAGGTCGAACTCAGCCATCCAATCCCTCATCTGCCATCTATTTGTGCGCATATGCGCGAGGATAGACAGTCAGATGTTATTTAACCGAGATACATGGAACAAGGTAGCGATGGACGTTCTGATGTTGATGTGCTATGGGTATGGTGATTTAGTTGGAGATTCATATGGTGCAGGGGTTCTGGTCCAGCATCAGATCAACCTCAGGATAAAGTTTGCCATGACCATCTGCGCGGCGAAAGACAAGTCCCGAGCTAGCCAAACAGCAAATGTCGAGCATATCGGAAGTCTCTTCACCGCCCTCTTTGTGAACTGTAAGATCCATCTCCATTACACCACACGCGTCGATAGACAGAGGAAGATGGATATAGCTCACCTGATCAGTGCTGGGATTCTTAAGGACGCCAACACATACTACTTCAAGGACGCCTACGGAACTGCGCAGCAATGTGTTCTCCCCAACCCAGACATCACTCAGCTAAACTCGGAGGATGATCTCAGGTTTTTGAAGGGCATTCCACTCTTATCTGACGTCATACACAGTGATGCTCCTGCACACACTCACGTCAGCTCTTCATAGGCTCCACAGCCTCATCTGGAGGACGAAAAGATGCCATTCTCTAACTCAGTTGACACAAGCGAGTTCGACCTTCCACACATCTCCGACGACCCTGACAAGACAGAGTACAGGCGTTGGATGATCGCGTCTTAGAAGAAGAACAACAGCTTCATGAAGAAGGTCATGCAGATGTTATCCAAAGGCGCAGACGTTGCACCGGTCGATCTGGGAGTGAGAGCCTAGATGACACCATCGCTCACTGATCTATAGTAAATCCTTTCTACCATCATTGTATCATCCACTTTTACTTTCATGCTGTTCCAATCAGATCCTTCTCTTGCTTAATAATACACCAGGGACAGTGTGAAATAATTCCGGGGGAGGGTTTTTGTTTTGCATTTGCTTTCTTTTAGTCCTTTGAGTTAGTATCCCAGGTTTTATTCCGTTTTCTTGAGTCAGTGAGTCAGTCGGTTACTTTCATTTGTTTTTTAATAGTCATTTTGTTATATGAGTCAATGTAAAAACTTGTGGGAACTATGACCAAATCTGTGATGAGTTTAGACTATTTATGAATTTTGACCATTTTCTTTTTAGTGATCATTGGTGCAGAATCAGTTAACTTGAGGCGTCCATGTTTTTGACAGAATCCATTGACCTGAGCTGATCTCTGAGCTCTTCCTTTTTACCTCATCGACGTGACTGGTATTCATAGGGCTGGACTCCTCATTCATACCTGACAAACAAGGACCTGTGTAATGAAAAGATTGGTACTCTTCTCCCTTATTCAAAGCATTAACTAAAGCTGAAAATATGAAATTGATTTTCTTTCAAGGTAAAGGGGTGGTAAAATTTCCCGGGACCTCACTATTTTACTTTGGAAAGAAACGATCACACAAGGATTGGAAGTGAAGGGTAGAAAAATTTCCCAGGACCCCATTATTCACCTATGACCTTGATAAAAAAGGAAGAAATTTGCAAATGAATAAGTCTGGGGGAGAGGAAGAGTACCTTTGTGTATTATGGTCAGTTTGTCGTGGTATAGTATGAGAATGAGTCTAGAAGATCCTTAGCATTGGATTCATCAGTGAGACTCAGCGATGATGGAATATGGATAATGTCATGAAACTATGGATTTAATCAGGGAAGCTGCGAATGTCTGCGGAGAAGTACATCGTGGTTCGATTTGGATTGATGTTGAAATATGTGGTCTGCAGGTTGTAGTCAAATTTACGGTCTTCTGATTTTTTGCGAGTTCTCACCATTGTCTAATCACTTTTCTGGGACTGGATTTTGGTTTGTTTGAGGACAAACAAAGGTCTAAGTTTGGAGGAGTTGATAAGTAGCGATTTTGATTCATTCTAACCTGTATTTGCTGATCTTTTAGAGTCTTTAGAGTCTTTTTCATATCGTTTCAGTTAACTAAGAGGTTTTAGGTGAAGATTGGAGCAACTGGAGCCTTTGGAGAAAAAAAAGAATTGAAGCTGAAACGGCTCCAGTTCTAGAAAAGTGGAGTCTTTGCTCCTAAAGGGAAGAAGGCAAAGTCTGAGGGGCAAATGATAAAAGGTCGGGAAATAGTTGGAAACTTAGAACCGACTTCAGCTTTTGTTATTTTACATTTACTCCCTACAATTCTTGTGTACATCAAAATTTAACCCTATGGATTTAATTAAATTCAAACAGGGGGTTTAGGTTTTGGGTAAATGGTTTGATTTTATAAATTCCCGCTTCAAATTGCGTTTAGTGGGCTTTAATGGGACAGATCCAACACCAATTAAAGAAAAATAATACGTAATCAAAATCGTAATCGAAGAGTAACTGACAGAAACTCCGGATTAAACAAACAAAAGTGCGCATTAAGTTTAATTTTAAATTTCAGTTGGTTTGTGTAGAAAATACACATTAAATCTTAACCTTAATCTTATTAACCTCTTACTTAGCAGTAATGAGCCAGAATATCTTTCACTTAATCCCTTCCACCATCTTTCTCTCCGCAAAACTACAACTAAATATCGTTAATCAGTTTTTAATTTTTTAATTAAACAGTTCATCACATTCGTCGAGATTAATCACTCAAAATCATAATCCATATATAAGAGATCACTGTGAAAACCCCGAAATTCCATCAATCAATTTCACGGAAAAAAATCCCCTAATTCAATTTTGCAATTTCGCAAATTTTCAAAAATATTCGAAGATGGGATCAAATTGCTGTGGAGATTACGTTGCTGCTTCGCCAGAGATGGTGGTGACGGAAAGCGAATCAATCGCGTTGATACTTCTCTGTGTCGTCTTCATCATTCTCTTCTACGGCTCGATTTTTCTTCTCTGCTTCATGATGTACCCGAAGTGCTGAAGGAAGCAATCGTGAAATGTGGCGACGGCGGCCACGATGACAGGATTAGAGCAGATTTATACATTATTTGTTTGGAGGATTTTGAAGTAAACAACGTTGTTAGGGTTCTGGTGGGATGTAAGCATGTGTTTCACGTGCAGTGTATAGACTCGTGGTGTTTCTATAAGCTGATGTGTTCGGTTTGCAGAGCACCGTTCCAGTAGTTTGGTGATTGGTAAGGGGCAAAGACTGAGAAGTTTTAGGATTTAAATGTTCAAGACGATCCAGTTTAATCCCAATTTTGATATTTTTACGTCTTTGGGATTTAAAAATCCAAGGGAATCTTTTAAGTTTTTGATCTGATCATTGATCGTGACGTATGTGTGTATATATTGGGAATGTTAATTATAGTAGTGAATAATACGGCTTAAAGTTAAAGTATGGGTTAAAGTTTTGTTATTGTGATTTAATACAAAAATAAAAATAACTAGAACAAAGAAAGATAATTTAAACCAAAAGGTTGAAGTGGGGTGATTCCCTTGAACTGGAAGATTCGACTCTATGGATCTAGGTTATGGATTGAATTTGCCTAGATGTGGAATTATCACATTAACTCTTGACCATTCAACTATGTGGGTTGCTACTGGACTGACATGAAAATGATGCTGAATTTTAGGGGGATTAGTCTGGATCCTCCGGATATCAAAAAAAACAAATTATAATTCGTTAGATTTGATTTGCTAAATCACAGAGCTAACTTAATAATGTGATTTAAAACAATTTATCGGAAAAAAGCATAAGAAATAGCACAAAAATCCAACACCTATTTTATATTTTTTCTTCTAAAGTTCAAATTAAAATATACGTGTAAATAAATGATAAAATCAAAGAGATAAAAATTAAATCTAATAGTTTAAAGGTGAATGAAATGATGATCGTAGAAAAATACAGTAAAACTTCTATAAATTAATACTCGATAAATTAATAATTACCATAAATTAATAAATTTTACCGGTTCCAAACCGGGTCAATGTAAAAATCCATCAATTTTGATAAGATAATAAGATAATAACTTTTTTGAAATCTTTTAGTAAATATATGGTCTCAATAAAAACATAAATTAATAATTATATAAATTTATACAAATATATATAATATAATATACTACTGTGACTGATATATTTGTTTTTACTTAAAAATGAAATCTCATTTGAACTCATCTCTTTACTTATTATATAAGTAGCTCTTATTGTCTTTTTACGATATGCATTTGAAATTTGTGAAATTTTTTTTATGTAACAATTATTTTTCTTAACCGTAAATGATTATGAATGTATTGTAGTATTGTCTTTAATTTGATTACCATAAATAATAAGGATAGTAGTTACGATTTTTTATAATTTTTGAACTATGAACATGTTTATTTTTATATGAAATCCGTTGTTATTAGTTTACTAAATTTACATTTAAAAAAATGTTTTTTGTTTGATCATTATTTAATTAAAATCTTTTGTTATTAGAAAAATTGGCTTTAATTTCTGGGATATGAATTTCTTACAATAAATATCTATCTTTGGTTTTAATTACTAGAATAAAAATTGATATTTTATTCATAATATACAACTTTCAAAATACCATAAATATCTATTGAATTCTTAAATTTGGTATAAGAGAGATTCTTTGATGGATTTTCTAAAAACAATTTAAACTCTATTCAAATTTGAACAAATCTCTCTTGCAAATTTAACAATTTTTCGAACTCTTATAAATCAAAACAATTATCAAAATCCAACGATTTCCCACTAAGGCATTAATCCAAAACTACTACTTAATAAAATAATCACGCACATTTGTTCGACAATCGACAGCATGAAAAGTGAAAACTATACGATAAAATTGGTCAAGTGAATATCCTCCCTCCCTCAAACCCTAAATCGTGATTGCATGCAAAAACCATAATCTCTGCAGATAGCTATGGTGACAACTCGAAAACAGAAGAAGATAGATGATCAAATATGGGAAATGCAAAGATTAGATGCTGAAAGTTTGGAATCAGATGTAGAGACTGTACCTTCAAAGTTCTCTCCCAAGAGGAATAATTCTGCCGCTACTGTGCATCCATCCGATCGATCAAAAAAGTCTAAGACTTTAAAGATTGTACCGCTGAAGCCCCATCCATGATCCATCTGATCGATCGAACAAGTCTCAGCAAGCCCAAGTCAAAATTGATGGCATAAATCCACAGGCAAGTCCTCAAACTCGCCCTCTTTTTAGTAGAATTGATTGTCTCATAACCGACAAAGAAGCAGGGATTTCCCTATTTGGCCGGGTCATTTCCGGGCAAACCAAAAATGCGTTCCTCATCATTAAGTCATTAAATTAATATGTTTGCTCGCGACTCTCGGGAGAACCAAATAATTCGATGGGAGTAGTTGCAGATCTACATTGGATCTCACCTGAATCGCCCCATCTATCCTCCTGAGACCTATCTCGTCTCTTCTCTGGTACTACATGGTTCTGTTCTGCTCCGAAGTCTTTACATAATCTTCTTCTGTCTGAAGAAATGATTCATCGAAGGGTCTCCTGCTGGGGCCCGCTATGCCAAGCCAAAACCATAACATTCCTTTAGTTTGTGTAATTGATTCAATGATGGATAATTTAGGGCCTGTCGAAACTCGCACAACATTTCCTATCCATATTGAAGCATAATGATCATACGTCTGTAATGCATTGTATGTCCCTAGCCCTGCCTTCGGCACCCCTTTCCTTGCGGTTAAGGTAGAGCCAAGGGACAGTCTCAGGTAGACAGTTTCTATGGGGCAGTTTAGCTGCTTTATCTGTTTGTGGTTTTACCCGGTGTGAGATATCACAATGTTCGAAGATGTTTTGAATCTTGCATGCATGCATATAGTATAACCATGTATTTAGTTCTGCAAAACTGTCCTTTTCTTTACACTCTGCCAACATAGCCTAGTTAGATATATTATCCTCTTAATGCAGCATGTTCATTTCAATGGCAGAGTGGCTGGCAAAACAGTGAAGTCACACCAACCAGGGATCCAGCTCACAGAGATACTGGAAAATTTGTCTCCGCAGAGGAGTTGCTGCTTTCAGGTGCAGTTTTCAAAGACCAACAACTGAAGTAGCTCAGAACTCAGTGCCTTGTACTCCTAGCTCTCACGTAATATCACAGTCTCTTGACCTCTTGTTTACTCAATTGTTAGTTTGTTACTCTGAAAAGCTCTGACAGATTTCCGTTTTTTTTTAGAAAGGGTTGGATGCCAAACAAACAGCACATCGACTTCGCCCTTGGAAAAAATTTCCCCAAAGATGGTAATTATTTGCCTTTCCTTGGATTTTTTGCCTAGCCATTTTCGTCATGTTTTCCCTTGGATTGTAATTATCCTGCAATGCAGATGGTTTCCGCCGAGAACAGTTTGATCAGAAAGGAAGCACACATTCTCTTAGTAAATCTGGTAGCATTCATGAAATCTCAGCTCCATCAGCGAGAATGGATAATCCCAGTGGAAGATTGACTGAAATGGACTTCTCAGCAAAAGACACAGGGATGCCACGATCAGAGGACAAAATCTCAGATGCTGTATTTTCTAATGGACAAAAGCTTCTTCTGGCATCTAAAATTCCAGATTCTCAAGCGCAAAATCAGGTTTCTGGTAGTCAGGGAAACGAAGCAGGAGACAGTGTGAGGCCTACAGCAGCAAAGTCTGCCTCCGCTGTCTCAGAATCCGACCAGGAAGCATAGGGATCTGATGGAGACTGTGTAGGAGCCAACTCTGCCTCTGGATCCGGAAACGAAACAGAAGAATCCAATGGAGATGGTGTTAGGCATAAAGGAGCAAAGTCTGCCTCTGTTATCTCAGAATCGTACAAAGGAGCAGAGGAATCCAATGGAGACATTACTAGGCATGAAAGACTGAGTACGCCAGAGATTGTACCATCAAAGGTCCTTGCCAACAGAAGAGCTGTGTATCAATCTGATTGTATGAAAACGTTTTGGAAAGTGCAGGCTGAAATTGGTCGTGTGAATCCAGAGGAATCTCTTCCGTCTCGTCGTCCTTATAATAAATCATTACTAACTAAGAAAAATCATTTGCGGTTTGATTCATTCTGGAAAAAAGGAGTAGTTGATCAAAGATTAGTAGATCTTTAGAGCTTTGCTGGTCTGGGAGTTGAACAGATTCTCAAAGACTATCACCTTTTGAGTACTCTGACTTCTGTGGGACCGTATGTGCTGCAAGTTGTCAGGGAATTTTATGCCAACTTACCAAGCAAGGGGACAAACAGGCTTGTGCAGAAGATATTTGTCAGGGGACATATGTATGAATTCTCTCCTAAGCTCATAAATTATGTACTGAAACTTCCTGAAAGAAGGATCACCCGTGCGAAAGAGACTTCCATTGATGTTGATTTAGATTTGATTGCTGCAACGCTTACTCGTGGCAAAATAAAAGATTGGGAGAAGATAACGCCTACTCAGAGGGAGCGCGAGGCCAAGATGCCACACTCTCGAAAAAAAAGCCAAAATGCCATATATTAAATTTGTAATTTAATTTTGATTTTTTTTTAATAAGGAAAAACTTGGAGAATACTACCCTTTCCCTATTTGTCTCTTTATTTACACTAAAACCAGGATCAAACCCACCCAAACCCAATGACCCATGGATATCCATCCAACCTCCTTAGATATTTTCATTTATTAATTAATTCTTTTTTTGTTAATTCAAAATCGATTATCCCCAAATAATTACACAAATTACATCTTAAATTTACAATTAAAAAAATCTATACCTTCAACTCTCATCGATGAAGCATTTTGGTGCAAAGGGGAATTATACAAAGACGAATGTGCTGTTGTTTCACCAACGAAGAGCATTTGGAAGTGAAGCTATTCTGGGTTTTGAAATTAAGGTTTGCCAGAAATCCAGCCACGAGGGAAGTGATTTCGACTTTTGAATGAAGGAAAATTGATGAAGCATTGTTCTATATATATACATGAATTTTGGATTTGCAGAGACTAATTTAATAGCTTTGTTTTGGATTTGAAGAAAGCTTGTGTCCCTGAACTTGGTCTGGTTTTCATCTCAACAAAAAATTGGGATTTTGCGCATGAGGTAATCTCGCCGTTGTAACAATTGAGTATCAATTAGATTTGCACCTGATGATCCCCTTCTTTGCTTCGCGGCGTCTAGCTTTCCAGGATCTATCTCCGGTTCGAAGG